TTTCTGAAGTGAATTGAAGTGTTCTTTCTGGTTACCAAGTGTGATTGGTATTTACACCATGACTTGACACCTGCAGGGCGGTGCTGGTGAGTCATACGTACTACTGTAGTGGACCAGTATTGCTTTGGTGTTCTCACTCATCGTCTCTGATTTCCCTGACAAATGTAACACTAGTAGCCCAAAGATTCATTATTATTATATCGAAGGAAACATACGTTAATAAATATGTTGAACATTATTTTCTTTATATTATATTATCATCCAGTAATGGAGCTCGGAATGTAGCTCTGTGATTAAGTTCACGATGCCTTACTTTCGTTAAGTTATAAAGCCATTCCATAAAATGTTTGGATAGATTTGATGACTTGACTTGACGGCCACGATCAGTCAAGCACATGCCATCTGAAAGTTTCTCTTCTATAAAGCAAACAAACCACAAACAATCAATCACCGATTGTGAGTCAATACGTCTTCTTTGTTATCGTAGTGAAGTATCAGATCAGAATTTAAAGACAATAGTACTCCTGCGATACCATCAACTCCAATAATACGTCTACGAAGTCTTGTTCCTATTAATTTTGTATTTCAATATCACCATACGTGTTATTGACAAAATGATAAGCGGCGCTGTCCTCATGTAAATGTAAACAAAATAAGTTTTTTTTATCAGAATTGTGGTACATTGACTAAAACACAACTGAAAATAAGCATTGAACATTGTAATTCTTACCTGAAATTATACTTTTCTATGGACCTTGCAGATAGACCTTGAGTGCCAAGAGTTTCAACTCTTTTGAAGATCGTTCAAATGTAAGTTCGACTGTTGGGTAAACTGACTATAGATATTTTTTTTTCACACGACACGAACAGGCAGTAAACCAATGTAAAAAACGGCTTGACTAAATTTTCTCCTTCCTCCAAACCAAGTTCCAGTTGACGGTTTTCTTCAGCGTAATTCTGGAACTATTTCCTTTCACTCCCAATATGCTTTCATCATGTTTTTTGATGCTCCAGAATTCGGAGGCGGCAAACCCATGTAACTGCTGAATTTTCTGAGTGCACAACGTTTTTTTCCAGTCCCTCTGGCAGCAATGTTAGGCTGTCGATTTACATTGAAAATGTGGCCATCTGTGTGGGTACTCGAGAACATTATAGACTGACGGCTGCAGTTTGAACATTAAAAGTACAAATTGCTGCCCAAATGTGTCGAGTAGTTGTATCTTCGGCAAGACTGGTTGTTGTCAGATTTATCGGTGTCGTCATCGGTTAGGTAGTTGAAAGTCTTTTGCGTGAATGCGGATAGAACCACTCAGGCGGCTGCCCCACGTCACTTACTGCGGATTTTTCTTTGTCTCGTCTGTCAACGGCGTCTTCATTTTCTTTCTTTTCCTCGACATTGCGTTAGTAAAATGGGGTTACGTAAAATAGAATATTGACTAAAATTTAAAAAAACGATTTAAAAGCAAATTATTATGACAGTGATAAACACGCATTGTTTGTGATATGAAGTTTATCACCCGTTATATCATAATCGTTATGCAGATAAGATGTTATCATGTAAGCCGTTCCAAAAATCATGTTCCTTTAGATTGTTCTTCAAGTCTTAATAAACAAATATAAACTTAAAATGTTCCCCCCCTTAATACCAGTCATCAATGTTCATTTTTCCATTCCAGTATTAAGTGTTTTTAATTTTCAAATATATATCAGCCCAATTCATCACTTATGAAAACTACAGTTTATAAGGCGGAAACATACTTCAATCTCTTTGTGGTTAAGTGATCTTGACGATGATATATGAACAAATTAAATTCTAATGGACTATTGTTAGTTATAGCGATTTCGAGTAGCACCCTCTCCGTTCAAACTGTGTTTATCTATCAAACACCACCAATGTGTCTGAGATAAAAACATCTCTTTCCGAGCGTATAAGGTATATGTCAGCATCCTTTATTCTATGTTTTTGTCATATAACCTTAAACCCTGAAAATGTTTACCACTCTGGAAGTCAATTGGAATCTACCAGATGTGATTGTAATTTACATAACAATGATGTTTACGATCTACTGAGTTGCCTACGTGAGACAGCTTCTAGCAATACCAATTCGGATTGGCTCGTGTGGAGACCAGGTGGTGTCTCTGAATCTGGGCTATTTATGCCTATAAATAAGCTAGACTGAGGACAGTTGGGTCCATATTTTTAACTAAGTTTGCAGTTTCAACTGTGTGTTGCTGCTGTGATATTGTGAGACAAGTGATAAGGCTTCAATCATCGTTCTGCGAGACTTGCATGAACTGCTCTGCGATCTTCTGCTTTCCTCGATGACCTCCAGAATAACAGCGTTCCTCTGCAAGCAAGACTCCTGTATTTCCTTGTCGTTGTGTTGCAGAAGCTATATTGACTGTCGTCCATTAATACATCCTGGAACTGTGAGTTATGACCAATGTACCTCTTCTTACGCAATCCCCTATTTTAGTGAACTTATTCATTGTATTTTTCTGTGCTTTGTTTTATTGTAATTGATTTGAGAGGTATTAAAACCAGCAGCTTTAACTTTTTGGTTGTATGTGTATTTCAGTACTATTGTATTGTCTACTCCATACTAGCAGTGAAAGAACCCCCTGTCCAGTGTGAGTTCTGTGGGTGCCCCTCTCAATAAGCAATAAGCAGGCCTTACACTGTGACACAGTTATTCAAGAGTAAATATGCATCCTTTTTTGAGGATCACATTAACAGTCACGTGTTATAGATATATATAGTAACATGGGAAATCGTACAGATGAATATTCTTGAAAATGACAGTGTTACTCGCCAAACTAAGTTCAGAGTAACAGAGTCAATATTCCGGAGCCTGTAATCCCAAATTTATTAGGTGTATTAGGTTGGCTTTTATGGACCGTTTAGATCCGTTTTTTATCAGTAAGTGCCAAATTGTTATTATCAATAAATTGACCGTGCTGAATCAATCAATATTTCGCATTTCAAATTAAACGATATTTTAGTTTATTGGCTGCGTTCATCACACAGTTGTTAGAAGACTACACACGCGGATATCTCAAATCGTACAAGACATTTGTAACAGAGGTTACAATTAGTTAATTCTAAAAGAATTTGGTCAATCATTGTTACATTGTATTTTTATCCACATCACCAGAACAATTTTAACCTCGAAATTAATCTTGAACGTATTCCCAATGTTCATGCGCATGCGCCAGAGGACATTTCATACACATCTGCAAAGTACCTGCAACTCAGCAATGCTTCCTGATTGACTATAATCTAAATAACTACTGAGCATATGAATAACATATTGATGAAGCACCGTAAGTGTATTGTGATAGGTATTTTTGATGGTTAAAACCTTTCACTTAGGTAACCGGGATTCGGTCGTTTCCACGCTAGGCTAACAAAAGACACACACGAGCTTCGTTCATGTTCCCAAAACGATTCTCTGCCAAGTCCCTGGTTTTCACCCGAGACAGCATTGAATCCATCTTTATTTCTTGTCACCCCTTAACCAATTACAATCAGTATAAGAGACTCCAAGGCCTTGCCTTCCAACAAACAACCAATCA